GTTGTCTGAGAGAGTAAGTATATACACTAACATTTCCTTATTAACCTCTCTCTTCAACAAGGACAGACCTATGTCCTCAGCTGTGAACTCAGCTGAGACCATCCCTACTTAATACTACAGACAAACTACTGAGTAGTAAACAGGGCTGAGTAGTGTTCCAAATGTTCTAAGATCTTGAAACACAGAAGTAGCAGGTTGGATTGTGTGGATTTAGACTCAGATAAAGTGTGAAGAGAAGAATCAAAAGAATCAGAAGAAATAGGAGAACTATCTACTTTTGTTTCCAACTTTTTTCTTTCTAACAAATAATTTTGTTGATTTACTTTTTCTACTTTTTCTACTTTTCTTACTTTATTTACTTCTAATCCTACAGTGTCCATTAAATCAAAAGTGACTATTAAAAAATCTGAGTCATAGCCCTTTAGTACTACATTCACTGTTAGGCCTCTACAAAATCCTAGAGTGTGTAGTTAGGGTCTAGGAGTTCTAAGGTGACTTCCAGATTTGTAGAAAAGGTTTCTTACTACAAATCCTGCTTGTTACTCATTATCACTCTAATGACCTGACAGATGTACTATTGTTTCTACAGACAGTCCTTAATTTGGTGCCCTGACTTTCTGTAGACAAAGTATGCTCCTTACTTTCAGGCTTCTCTAATGTCTATCAGAATGGATTGATTACAAATTATAGGCAGATCAATTTAAGGGCTCAGAACTGTCAGAGCTAAACACATGTACAGGCATTCTGTACAGACTTAATGTATCCAAGCTACAGTTTAGTCAAAGGAGATAGTGTGTGTCTTCTACTCAGTGTAAGTGACCAGTTCTAGTATTATCCTAAGGATCTTATTAACCAGTTCTGGGTGAAGAGCTTTTTCAAGCATTCTGATAAGGACATTATTGAACCTGAGCATGAATCCTGCCTTCCAGGCTAGGATATTAAACTCCTGAAAGAAGGTATTAGCAGAATGTTTACCCTGTCACAGAGATGCAAGCTTGTTCTGTATATTATACTTCTTATTCAGATTAATAAAGGAAGTATAAAGCTGCCCTATGAATTCTGAGTACAACTTATTGTTCTGAAGTTGGATCAGGCTTCTAATCTAATAGCCTTTGATTCAGTTCTGGGCCCAGGTGGCTGTGTTGCCTTCCTTCATGAAGGAGAGGACAAATAGGATATGATTAAGATCTGAGAATAGATCAGTTGAAGTAGTAGCCATGTATAGTTCAACTTAGTACTAGAAGTCCTTAAAGTGCTACCTATTAAAGTCTGAAGGGTGGGCTACATGCACTTTCTTTCTAGAACAGGTTGTAACTTCCAGAACAATCAGAACAGGTTCTGAAGAGGCTGGGGGCACATAGTTAGTAAAGGCCTCTTAGATAGAGGTCTGTACATATTAAGCTAGTTCTGCTTGTAACTACTGATCCAGTAGGACAGCAGGGGTGACAGTCAGTGTAGGAGGGTTCATGTTTACACTATAAAGGAATCAGTACTAAACTAAAAGGGGTAATAAATGGAAGAAGGGTAGCAAAAGTTTAAAAGGGGTTTAGGGAGTTTAAAATTTAAAAATGTAGAAGGGTTAGGACAAAAAAAAGAGATTGACACAACAGTGAGTACTGATGCTCAAAATGTAAGAGAGTTGTAGGGTAGTAATGGGTAGTCTTAATCTGATGTCAGTAACAGTATAGAGGGGACCTAAAGGCTTAGTAAGGGGACCTAGGCTACAACTATCTTACACAACAGAAATACAGAATATGAGTACTAGAACATAGTCAGAACTTGCAGAACAGGCAGAGAGAGAGAGTAAGACAAGAGTAGAGTATATAGAGTGAGCCTAAGAGTACAGGACTACCTAGAGTAGACAAGATCAAGACTACAAGACTAGTCTGATCTCATACACCTATATATACTAAACTACACAAGAGTACTCAGGGAGTATGAGCCACTTAAGAATGATAAGCCACAAAGAATGAAAGAAAGGAATGTCAAAGATAAAGGTACAAAGAATGAAGGGATGGACAAAGGGTAAGAGACTATAGAATGAACAAAGAATGAAGGAGTGGTCAAAGGAATGGAATAATAAAGTAAGGAAGGGTAGTAGCAAGAGTCAGTACACATATAGTCTATAGACAGTGCCCCTGAGGGACAGAAGTCCTGAGTTCTAGTACAGAAGGGTGCAGAACCCTTGGAACTGAAGGTATGAGAGTGGAGAACTGTAACACTTACATTGCCTCCCCTTTATTGTCCTCCTTTTTTTATGTTTGTCTCCCTTTTTAAATTCACATTTGCACATCTGTATTGTTGACTAATGCTAAACAACTTCTCTAATAACTCTATGTATTCATGTACTTCTTCCTACTCTATAGTGTAAGTAAGAATTGACAAGTACACACAAGCATACTTGTAACAATGTTTATATACAACCACTCCTATTGTACCACCCTCTCTCTAACACTGTATGTGTTCTACTCCTTTATACATTCCATGTTTGACATTACTCTTGACAGGTTTGCTCTAAGCACATTTACATTCCTCAGTACTGTCTATAACACTATTTCAAATAAGGTAAGTAGTAGCCATTACTTACCCCTCCTAAGCCAAGTCTGTTTACATTACCCACTTCACCCTCTCCCTTTAAGTCAGAACATTCTAGAGATACACTTTTGCAATTACACACAACAACTAAGTTCTCTACTCTGACTATGTCTTACAATTGAAGGTGTATATAATGTGTATGTACAGGCACAGCTTAACTTACTACTCAAATCAGCTTGTTTAACACTCTGGATCCTAACCTTAGTGTACTACTTATACTTACTATACACTATTATAGTATGTTCACCTTCTCTCTCTTATTATCACTTGCTAATCACTCTAAACTTGTCTTACAGGCACAGCCTTAGCCTCTACAACCTGCTCAACCTCAATTCACACACACACACTATTCAACTTGCAGGAACTGAGTAATGACCAAAGTGTAGTGTTAAAGACTACATTAAACAGTCTAAGAACACATTCTTCCTCTTCTGTTACAGATACTGTTAGGAAAAGAACAAGGCAGAAGCAGCTCATCATACACTACAAGTACTGTGAGTGTCTCTTCATTAGTATCTACTACCAATTCTGACAACTACAGCAAATTTGACTCACTCTCTACTAATAGTTTACTGTATGACTATCTGTTCAAATATCTGTACACAAGGTGTAGTAGTGTGTACAAAGTAGAGATGGCAGACTTTAGTGATTTTGAGATGGGTGATACAGAGTGCTTGTAAGAATGGGTTCAACCACAGACACAGTCATAACTGTTGAGCCTCTTAATACTCTTACTTTCTGGTGGTCTGTCTGGATCTGGTCAAGAGATAGGCCTAGCAATCAACACCTGTAATACACTTGTTCACTGCTTGAGTCTGGTCCAATCCCAATGTCTACCTACTTGTATTTGCATTGTAGCAGACATGAACACTCTCACTCACTCTCTACACAAATCTTGACACAGGCTGTACTATGTATGTGTTTCAGATTATTTTCCTTAATTATTGTAGATAATAATGTATTGTACAAATATTTTAATATAATTGATTTTTGTTATTTTAATAATGAATGGATGTAAGAGGAAATTATTATTATTAAGAAATAATAACTATGTATAGTCTCTGTAAAACATTACAAACATGTATTACCCTTTCAAAACTTGGTAATCCTTACAATACATTTCAAAAAAGGGAGGTCCAATATTATGCATTTTATATGTTTAAAAGGGGTATTACCCTTATGTACTTTTATTACATTAATAAACCTTACAGTACCTTATACAAAGTTATACTACTTTATCAGAAATCAAGGTCTGATAATATGTAAATTACTTTTTTACTTTTTACTTTTTCACACCATTATAATGTAATATAACCTTTTAGACTTTT